TACAAGCACTAGTAGTAGCGATCTCTCTTTAAAAAGTGAGGAGGATTTGAATTTGGCATGGGAAAAGAATGTAACATGTAGATGACCTTTAGAGCTGTTTAGATAATCCCAAATTGATTAAAATGTCACTTTGACTTTATGCAAAATAAGAGAATTGAGAAATAAATACAAAAGAGTGATCTTTTACTCATCATATGGGATATCTAAGACAGCTGAGATAAAAATAATATTAAAGATGTGAGAAAGATTAAAAGAAGGTATATATCTTAAGACTAAATCAAAGATTAAAGAAAGTATATATTTAAAATAGACCCTATCTTTTTATTTATTTTGCAAACCAAAATGTTAAACATAACTACTTAAAATCTAAAATTTTGCCATACAAAAATAAGATCTTATATTTTAAAGTTTTGCCATACAAATATAAAACATTTGCAGCTAATCTAAATAGAATGTTTTATGGTTTAATATTTATTGGTAATTTAAATAAGGTATTATTATGCAGATGTTTTAATTGATTACAATGGTTTACATTCTTAAGAGGAACAGGTGTAAAAATCGTACAATTTTATGAACTCCTACTGCAGGATAATTGTGGGAAGAAAGAAAAGAGTAAGGTGTAAAAGTCATACAAGACTTAAAACATACAATATTATGAACTCCTACTATAGGGTAATTATAGAATAGAGTATTGGGCTTTTTACTTTTTCGCAAAAAGTAGAAAATTGATTTCCTCTCATATCCCAGTCACCCGATGTACGCATTATCCACTGTTACTGTGAAATTTTTTGTTCAGATGTTGTAACAATAGCGTGTCAATTTATATTTTCTAAGCATCATTATAGAATGAACACGTTGTGTGTTGTATCACGCAATTGATAAAAGAGTTCCATTTTTGTTGTTTCCAATGTATCAAATAAGCAAATTTCACGGATCTTTCATTTGAAATCAATACCTATTATATGTGATGTATCACTCGATCAGATGCATAAAAACTACTACTCCTTCTAACATGTTGATGCTCTAACTAAAGGGAAATGAAAAAAAATAAGCACTTCCTAAAAGTGTAATTTATAGTTTCTCTCCATTATACAGCTGAAAATGTATTCAACTCTGTTTTTTATTCATTTTTCATATTCAATTGGAATGTATTTAGTACTTTTTAAATTTTTATTTTTGTTTATTTTTCAGCAACCAAACAAAATCCGTTACGTTTACTGTTTACAATATTAATGTTTAAAAGAGAGAGGGGACAACATGAGAAGGATAATACAGCAAGAGAAATATACGAGTAAAGTTGGAATAAACTTAAAGTTGTGAGCTTTATCCACCAACTTTTTTTATCCATTATGTTTGCTTTGAGATTCGAATTAGAATGTGATTGATGGCATATAATACACATGAAAACTATCTTAACATTTCACTAATCTCTCTGTATTTAGGCTCATGATACCCTATGCTACGCCCCAGATTTATCTAATATTTCTAAATGTTTCCTAAACATGTAACAAGGTTTCGTGTCAAATTTCCAATTAATTAATAATCCCTATGTTAATAACTGCTTTGCAGAAAAAGATACGTAAATAAGTAATTTATAGAAAACTTTATGCAAACGTCACCCGTTTCTGACCGATGGAATATTCAGACACATGTGAAAGTGTAGAAGATCTTGAAAATTTAAGCTTGGATACAAAGATGCATGTAAAAGTGTTGAAGATCATGGAAAATTACGTTTGAAAACGTCCGCTGGTAATAATTATTCTTCGACGGGGCTCCAATATTTCCCCGAAGTCGGATTTCCCAAAAAACAATGCAATACGGAACTCTTTTATTGGCCTCTCAAAAAGTGTGCAAATTTGTTTGGGCTGTAAAAGCTAATTTTCTCTTCAAGTATGCACATAACTTTTTTATTTATTTAACAGAGAGTACGTGCATATCTAATTCAGGAATACATTTTAATATAATATCACAGGCAGTAAATTTCCGTTTCCAAAAAGCTCCTTAACCAAAAACACGAGAACGCGTCTCGCACCGTAAAAGACAGATTTAGCTCTCTGAACCTCTTCAAACCATCCACCGATCAATGCTGAAATTCAACTCAACTTCTTGAATGGTAAATTTAGTTTAATAACTTACTGCAAGGTCCTATAATTCTTGAATGGTAAATTTAGTTTAATAACTTACCGCAAGGTCCCATAATTCCACTACTACTAGTCCTACTAGAGGTTTCCTCAACAAATGAATATTCAACTCCTTGCCAGGTGCGCAATGAGATCATCAGCCACAATTTTCAGGGCATTAATTGATAATACTAAAATAATGAGAAGATTTTTTAAAAAAAAAGGAAAACACCTACTAATAAATAACTGCACCCAGAATAGATGTGGCAAACTAGACACCAAGATCAGCTGTTAAAATAAAGTACAAGTCTTACGAGGAGACCTAACTCTCCCAAAAACAAATGTTCATTAAGTATCTTTATAGCTCATGAAAGTGGGCTTTCGATGGCGCGCCCTTAATCTTCAGGGGAAAGGGTCAAAAGTTCAAGAGGGCACTGCACATGAGAGAGGTCAATAAATTAGCTTCTTTCCCAAAAAAGAACGTAAATGAAATTCAAATCCAACTAGAGTAACATAATTCGAATGAGCATAAAACTCTAAATAACTCCGAAGATCTTTGCAAGCACGTCATATAAAATATTTCACCACAATCATACGAACCATCTCCATAAAGTATGTTCATATATGTGACCGAACACACAACAATAGGAAGCTAAAACTAGCTTTCATACCACAATAAAGACTTTCTGAGTTGATATTTGAAAACTTTTTAGGTCCCTTTTCACAAATACAAGCTTAGTTTGATCTAGATATAGCTTTTTCCAG